ATCAATAAAATTTTGAAAAAAAAGGCAAACATTTTAAATTGGCCTTGAAAAATATTCAGAAAGACCTATGGTTTGTGTATTAATGACATTGGATTCATTATACTTTTTAGATTAAGCCATCAAATATTCTTTTTACATACCCTTTTCTCTTTATGCTTTCTTTCTTTAAAACTTACTTTAATTTTGCCTCAAAATAGTAGTTCTTGCCATTTAGAAAACACAATACTGATATGCATGATTGAGAGAAATAAAAGTATATTTTCAACCATGTGTAGATTTGATTTTACAATACAATAAAATACTTTTTCTACCATTTTCACAAAAAAAAGAAAGTGCGTGTATGATGAACACTACTTCTCTCATAGAGATGTTTGGAGAGTTCATGTAAAGTTTTCTGCACACAATTTAGTGTGCAGAAATAAACTTTTACCATTGGCATCTCATTATCTACTGAGTACATATGTTTCTTTCTAAGTGTCTAGATTATAAATGATGCTACTTAGAAAATATTCACATTTGCAATGTTATTTTTAAGAAGCTATTATTTGAAAGTAAAGAACAAAGGATAACTCATTTTTAAGTGTTTACTATGTTATTAAAATTATATTTTCCATTTGATTCTCAACACAGTCTTACCCTTTGCTTTGGTGCGCTTACTCCTGGGATTGAGATGGATACTCACAGGTGTACTGGAGCCACTCATGAAAGAGAAGCCAGGATTTCCAACTTTTCTTTCTAATTGAAAAAAAAAAAGGTATTTATTCAGGGTGTTCAGTACTCCTTGTGGAATGATTAAATCAAATCAAATAACTTATTAATTGCCACATATACTTAATTTTTCAATGAGAATATTTAAAATCTACTCAGTGGATTTCAAGTATACATCTTCTTTAACTAGAGTAACCAGGCTGTGTATAGATAACCAGAATTTGTCCCTTTTGTCTGTTTGAAACTCTACACACCAGAGCCCACATCTCTCCATTCCAATTTCTCCTCACTACTGTATCTGCTTTTTATTTATCTGAGCTCAGTTCCTTTAGAGTCTACATATGGCAAGACCATGCAGTGCTTGTCTCTCTGTGCCTGGTTTATGTTCGTTACCATAATATACTGTTGCGTGTCTGGATTGAAATGCTCCTTCTATATCCACCTGCAAGGTGGGCTCCTACTGGAAATCACTGCCACTTACTAGGAAATTGTGGAATTCATATTTCCATCACTATGCAAAGGATGTAGGACTTATCAATCTGAGGCAATCCATGTCTTCCGAAGGGACTATCCTAGTCATTTACTCAACTGAGAATGATGGCTTGGTGTGGATAATATGACAAGAATTCTTCAATTAAAGAACAACTCTTCACATGCTTTTGAAGTATGTACACAATACTTCTTTTACATACTCAGTATTTTAATTACTTAGACCTGTTACACCACAGAGGCAGTCAGAGCAGAGAGATTAAGTCAGTTTATAAATAAGAAGGGTTGGTAAAGACCAGCGCGAAGGTTAGGACACACCTTTGTCAGTCTTTACACCTGTGATCTTCCAATCCCACTACTGCGCATCTCCTTTATCAACAGAGAATAGCTCTATACACACAGCATAAAAGGCTAACACTAACAGGAGGCACAGCCTATGCACAAGCACTTTGCTGCCAGGCCTCGTTACTCCTCCTGTGTACTGGATATGATAAAATACTTCTGTTTTTATGGAGAAAATGAGCAATCACTTTATTTTTTATTTTTTGCCATAATTTTATTGATAAACAAATAGCAATGAGACATTTTCAAATCAAATCGGTAGGACAGTTTCAATAATTAACACACTGGATACATTCTTCTTAGTGGTTAATTGCTGTACAAGATGCAGGCTTAAGATCCTATTTACAAACACCATTAGAACAAATCATTCTATTCATTAAGAGAATGTAACTGTATATTTATCCTAACCACTTTGAATACACAGATACAAAATGGACATTCATCTGTATCCCGTTTTTTTTGTTAAGTTCTGTTATTTGAATATTATAGGTGTGTAAGTTCAGCAAAATATTCTAAAAAAGTCCAGAAACCCATAATAGTATTGGGTCTTCCTCTTCACTGGCAATGTCAGAAATTGTTGACCTGAGTCCCCTGCAGCTCAACATAACAGCATGGCTTTACTTCTTATACTTCGTTTTCATACTTTTCTGCTGGATGGTTAAGACCAAGGTAAAGCAGGACCTATACAACAAGAGTTGCAGCTTTTGGATCTGAAAAGGTCAGTAAAATCCCCTCAGGTTTATGATGAGATCCTGTACCTCAGATTGTAGAACCTCTGTCAGTGTCAGCCATGTGAATGAGTCACAGCCATTGCTTGGCCAATGTGCTC